AATATTTATACTATTGGAACGAACGCGAGAGAAAGCACAGTTCTATATTTATTTATCTCAGAATCGGAGATGCAACGTTACAAAACTGCTTCTCTAAACTCTCTGCGCCACAAAAAAATGAAAATATATGTCTTCCACAATATCAATGATCTTTTATGACACTACCATTTTACATGATATCATATATTGGTAAACTTTGAAAGACTTATTATATATTATATTATATGAATCAAAGCTAGGCAAATGTAATAATCCGAACTGTAAAACACAAAAATCACATCTATATTCAGCCTTATAAGGTACAGAACAATAGATAATGAAATGAATCCAAATTTCGTTTTTAATGAATGCAATTAAAATAATAGTAATTTTTCCAACCATGTCTATTTGTTGCATTAAATCAATAATTTACATCGTGTTTTTCACATTATGATTAGATGTTTCACAGGTTTGACCAACAATATAACCCCCTCCCTCTCTGTAAGACAAATCAATTCATTCCTAAGAGAGGTATTCCATATGGTTGCTGCATTCAAAAAAAAGGGGTCCATGAGACACTCAAAAAGATTTTGCTGTCGCTGGCAGCTGTATCGAAACATGTTTAAAGCCATATGTGTGTGGTACGTTCTAATCACATTTGTTCATGTTCACTTAAACTCACGAATAAAAAACGTAACCGAAGAAAAAACCAATGCAAAATAAGCACAAACTAAAAGGTCTTCTACGTTTCTCTTACGATTACAGAATTTAAAAAAGAACACGAAAGATAAAATTAAAGCAATAATGTACATAATTGAATAACACAGGTAAATCAAACAATTTACATAATATATTATTGACGATGTTTCTGAAATGTTCGCTGATGACATTTTCGTTTTATCAGAGGCCTGATTTGAAGTGATTCCACTTCCCGTTACTGTTTCTGGACCATGTAAAAATGACGATATCGAACCTATCCAATACGATACAGGTATATCCTTTGGTTTTCCCCTTAGTCGACTAATCAAACCCATAGTTCCTTCTATGGCGATATACCCACTATAAAACCTGGGTAACGTATGTTGTTCACCATTCCAATTTGTATCAATCGATGATATCATAGTTTTCAACTGACATGCTGTATCTTCTTCTGCAGTTGTTTTCATCATTCCCAGTCTGTCCACAAATGTTAATGCTTCGACTAACAGTTCTTGTGCCATGTCATAGTGACGTATCTCTTGATTGATTTCATCTTTTATTACGTCATAATTCATGTCCAATTCTTTCAAGTAGTCACGTTTTTGTTGATTTATTAAGTTAGTTATTCTTGTTATGGTTTCGCGATACTGCTTTTTTATGCGTTGTGTTTGTTGTGCATGCCAGTTTGGTAGTTGTTTCAATTTTGTGTGTGCCCGGACTTTGTTTTCAAGGGCAAGTTTCTGTTTTGATTTCAAAATACTCATATGATGTGTTCCTTCCATACAATAGTCACCTGTTGCCTCTTGTGGCATCACTTGAAATGATATTATTGTTAATATGAACAGCAATCTGGAATGTAAATATGAACAAAAATGACAAAGGATTTACAAATATCTGTGACGCCCATCCGTATTGCTGAAATGGTGGATTATCAAAATGTTTGTTTGTTTCCTCGTTTGTTTGTTCTGTCATGAATTTGTTTTTGCGTATCTGTTGGTCGACTTAATTAGCTGATTATTAGCTGAATTGCTGTGTTATGTCTGTCATCGTTTAGGCCTATTTAAAGTTTTGGACGGAACTTGGCTCAGTGATTTGGAACTAATTACCAGATAACCGTCGCTATTCAGACTACTCATTCTGACAGTTTATATCCGTAGTTATTAATGTAGTGAACGATTAATCAAAAGATATGACGTATTCAGTACTTAGTGTGATTGGCTTTATGATTGAAGGTTACGCCCTAGAGTCTTTTTACTGCTTTGTAATTGGTTAGAGTTTTGAAAATGAATAAAGAGAGTTTGAGTTGGTCTTGGGGAGAGAGCACGATAGACGCAGTAGAGAGAGTCCAGTCCTGGAGAGTTGAGGCAGTCCAGTCCAGGGGCGAGCCTTGAGGCAGTCCAGTCTTGGGCGAGTCTTGGTTCAGCCTTGTGAGAGTCTTGGGGACTTTTCCCCAGGGCGCTGTGTCTTATAGAGTGCTCCAAAAGATCGACTAAGACGAGAGTTGAAACGTATTTCGTTGTGTGTGCCTTATTTGACTGTAAAGTATAAGTGACTTTCCCGATCCCGTACCTCAAGGGGACGCGATAGAGAGGCGAGACGAGATTCCCCCTGACAGTGTGGAGAACCCGAGAGGAGAAAGAATTTCCCCCTGATAGTTCGCAGACATTGCAATGAGTTACTCAAATCGGAAGAGATCTGCATAAGGCAAAATATACAAACACTAAAGAAATTGAAAATATGCATTGACCTAAAATGACCAATATAATCGCAAACAGAAGAAACTATCCAAAATTTAAATGAGGTCCCAAAATATCCTACACAACAAATACCAAAGGAAACTGGATCGCGTTTTTTTTCAAGCAGTCAAATATAGAAGCCTTTTACCAGCAATCGCGAACATATATTTGCAAGCTATATAGACCACTTTCCCGGATGTAGAAGATACGCAGTTTCGAATGCGCGTATGTCGTATATGTGATGCAACGTAATCGTGATATTGTGCTTCTGGGCGTACCAATCGACGCCAAAACAATAAAAATTCCTTCTATCAAATATCAATAAAATGCTTTTCAAGAAAATGTTGAAAACAACGAATTTGGCCCACAAAATTTGCTGATATCTTTACAAAATAACATATTTAGATCGCAATCATCCCAAGACACTGTTATGCCAAATATTTAAGCACTCTGTAATCGGGTTTTCTCTGCCAGTTAATAGTGACCAAAACTTGTGGCAAATATTTCATGAAAAAAAGTTCATAAAACGGGCAAAATAATGGTTTTCAAAAGTTTAATATATATCTGGCACAATTAAAATATGTTACGGGAACAATATATTGACACATTCTGGGTCTTTATCGGCGTATACACAAGCAATAGGTTCTTGCATGGAGGATTCATTTTCGTAAGGTCTATATGCAGGTGCAGCCAACGAGCAATAAATTGAAATAGTCAATTCTCTGGGACAAAATTTATTTTATGGGCCTTTTTAGTATGCTAATTAATATAAAGGAAAGAGGGGAAATTAAAAGCTGTTCATAAGCTGCCCTCCACCTGAAAACAAATTGTCTTCCCCCTGCCCTCATTTAAAAAACACCTTTTTGCTTACTCCTTTAACGCCAACTTGCCTTTCTTGCCCTCCTGCTGACCAAATTCATCTTTCCTCTCCCCTAAAGGCTGTTTTGCTCACCCTGCGATGTTTGTTTATGTAAGAACCCTACCCACTAAAAAAAAGTTTCCCTGTCCTTGCATTTTTTAAGACATCTGCCCTGCCCACTGAGGAATACTGATATTTCCCGCCCCTTACAAAACATATAAAAAATCCCCTGCCCTCAACAAAAATCCCTTGGAACAGCTTTTCTGGTGAACAGCTCCATTGGCTGCACCTGTATATGGCACATTCCATTTCAAAACAGAACCAAAAACGCGAAGTTATGGTGGAGCTGTTGACATGACTCACTGTTAGTCTTTAAATGACATCCGCCAATTGTATATATGAATGGTCTGAGCGGATTTTAAGTCGTTATAGTGCAATGCACACGCAATAGCATACCTCTAGACAGCCACCACGCTTGTAACAGTTGTTGTTAGTTACGTGCAAGTCTTTATTGTCATAGGGTGAAAAGAGATGACCGACGGTTTAGCCTATTTGCTTTTCACAGTGTCTATAGTGGTATATTAACAAGATTGGTGAAAACAAGTTGTACATAGTCATGGGAACATGATTTGAAGAATTATTCTATAAACACAAACTTTATGATGTATATTGTGAAAAAGCTTTGGGAATAGCGTAACGAAACAGTTCGATAATTTACATACCTCATGTTGCCTCAGTCAGTCTGCTGTCGTCAACCTGAGATTCTATATAAGTTATCTAGAGCGAGAACATGCATGACCTATTTGGTAACAATGCCCAAGACGGTAACCTTTGAACTCAAACATAATGGCCTCGTGTTATTCAGAATTTTTCTGTCACGATTGGGGGGGGGGGGGTTAGAAACTCTATCTGGAAGGTGGCGATGTCAGAATTAGAAAAAAATGCCCAGGATAATTTTTTTTTCAATTCCCAAATATGTTACAATGTTGTGTTTTCGGTGATTCTTGTGTTGTATTGCCAGTAGGAATTTATGAATATTTATTTTATTATTTTAATTTGTGTTTCCTCATTTTAACGGCTTCATGAAGTTGGTGGGCAATATCTTGTTCACGCATGCGTAGATCAACTTTCTCGTGTATCACGTAAAAAGGGGGGATGTCTCCCGCATCGCTTTTAAGAAACCTTGGACCCCCAAAACAGATCCCATTTTTGCCTAATGGTGGATAGTACTATTATAATAGTAGTGTTATAGTTTATTCAGGAACTGCTTTTTGAAGCATCTGAAATCACGTGTTTTCCTTAAGGTCGCTGTATCGTTTATATCATCGATTTTTCTTGATTATATATATTGTATTATTGTTTCTTTGTTTGTTTGATTGTTTTCACCAGTAATTAATTAATTAATTAATCCATTGGCGGAATTTGAAAGAGTAACTGATTTTCTCCAAACTTATATTTTTAACACTCCGATAACGATTCCCGTCTTCGACATTCTACCGTTTTTATTCATACACGAGTTGTTGAACACACTACATAATTTGTAAATTCATTCAGCTTCTGAAAGTAAATGATTGAAAATTATTTAAGGTGCATAGGAAATACATTTCGTTATTAATATATTTCTGAATTATCTTGTCCAAATTTAGGTTTTTTTCCTCAAAAACAAAAACGGAAAGTCTTTATCTATTGTTTTTTATTAATTCAATTTCACTTTTCTGTCGTCTGTTCTTCCCAGCTCAAAAGATATTCGATTGCTGGAACCTTCATCCAGTGTCTATTTTCATATTCTAGATACCCGCCAATACAACACCCCCTCCCCACAATACAGGCTAGGTGTACATTTTATTACAGTGCCTGGTCTTCCTGTGGGTAAATACGGAACGTTAAATATGGGAAACACCATAATATCTTCTTATGACTATCGTGACTACACTATAGTCAGTTTGTAATATCACCAAAACTACCATTCAGTGCGATATGCCCAATGTAGAGTTCCGGAAGTAAGGCACTTTTGCTGAACCATTGTACATCAAGAGATGACGTCATGTTATGTATCTGGCATACTAAATCTGTTCCAATGGCAGTTTTCATAGTTTCTAGTTTGTTTGTAAATGACATAGCCACTGTCAATATTTCTTGTGTCACGTCATAATGGCGTATTTCTTGATGGATATCTTCTTTCAGCTCGTCATAATATGCATTCAGATTATCCAGATATCCAAGTTCGTCTTGTTTGATCATTTCGATTATTCTTTTGGTTGTTTCCCGGGCGTGTTCCCTTATCTGTTTCTCTTGTTCTGCACGTCGCAACCGCACATGTTTCAATCTGTTAAGTGTGTTTGTTTTGTTCTGTTGTAATTCTTCGTATTTGACCTTCAAGAGGTGTGCGTGATTTGGTGTGTTTGAGCAAGAGTTGTTGATTGGTCCACATATGTAATTAACGTTGTACACCAGGACTGACAACGTTGCAAAAAAAAGACTGTACAGTAGGTAAACTCTGGAAACAAAACAAAAAAGTGTTTAATTAATGAAACTTGTAACAATATGTGTTTGAAACATTCCACCACATGCGTTTAGGGAAATAATGGCGCTTTCCTACTTAAAGCGGGGGGGGGGGGGTCGTCACCTGCGCACGCGCGGGAATTGAGTCCCAAGCGACGATAACAACACACGCTAAGAACGCAAAGGCTCATGGGTAAAAGCTTGTTTATAAACAATGACACGCTATAACCTTCTGACGTATGCGTAGGTGACAAGTTCCCTGCTTTAAGCGTTGGCGATGGCAGGTCACAATAAACACAACCGGTATTGTAGTCAATAATGACACAGTGCTACTCGGAAAGCCAATCACATTTCGCTCTCATTCATGTGTTCGCGCATCGAGCATCAAGTTTACCCACCTTTTGCTATGATGACATCGACGTTTCTTTTGCACGGTTTGTGAAATACGCCGGGTTGAAATACCCACCAAGTCAACCAGTTCATTGATCGCTAGGCTCAGTGGTAGTTCTTGAACACGGTTGACAGGCGTGTTCTGGTTGCAGTTTGGACAGACGAGATTAAATCCACCACATACATTAAACCATTTCTCTAAACACTGTTCACAGAACGAGTGTTGACAAGGCAGCATTTTAGCTTTCTTGTAGATATCATAACAGATCGAACATGTCACCATTTGCTTAATATCGTGAGAAGCCTCTGACCACTCAGTGGCCATGTTGTTCTGCTACGGCATTCTGTGGGTTTGAACTCTGACCTATGATTCATAGACTGAAAATATCTCTGATTGAGAGTAATACTGCAATTAGCCCTGCGTACAGTGCTGTGTGTACGGGGACGCGTTCAGTTGATAGATGTCCCCACCACAGCCATGCGTACCTCCATAGACAAAGTCCGGGTGCGCAAGTTAAAAATAAGTAGTTTCCCAGCCGAAATCGGTTGAAATGACAATAATTATCCGTAACAACCATTATAAAGTTATCTGAAACTGAAATGTCTTTAAAAAAACGACTAGTAAAGACAAATTGTAAATGCATCCTCCTACATTTGTAGAGCTTTTTCTTTAGGGGTCATTATGTTGTTTGGATTGACGTTTCCTTTAAAGGGAGGCAGTCTTCGTGCCACGTCCTGCTTGATATGGGACTCATAGCGATGTATACAACGCATATAAAATACATTGTTTATTTACATGAAATTCGAACACACGTGACGACCACCACGCTTTAAAATTCTAGAATCCCTAAAAGATGGAAATAGAAATGATAGTAGCATCCGCATACACATCCGAAAATCATTTATAAAGAGAATAAATAACAATGGGTTGAGTATGGACCCCTGGGAAACTCAAGTACCCGCTAAATTTACCTGTGGTGGTATGTCTTTCATGTAACGAGAATCGAATAATTTAAGTATCAAACATATAGATAATATATAGACAAATAGATAATACATAAGTTTTTGTAATAGAATGTTATGACCAACAAGGTCAAATGCTTTATGACGATCAAGAACAACACATTTTTTTCTGAATCTAAGGTTTTCAATCCATCTTTCAAGGATCTTCGTTATAGCAGTCTGAAAAAAATAATTCCCAAAAATCTGACAGTACATCAATCCATGTATTAAGGTATCCTCTATGCCGAGGATGCCGATTGGGGATGATCCACCTAGAAATGTAAGTCGGGGAGGCTGGTCTGTCCTGCTTACTCTGGCCATAACACATGAACATGTGCTTGCTGCCCTGCCCTGACTTCCTAGTACATCTCTCATAGCAACTCAAACCTCGAACTGGGCATAAAAGCAACTCCTCCTGATCCTAGGCCTGACAATATTGGCCAAATGGGAGATGATGATTGGCTGTGGATCGTGCCCTGGGACTTGGTTGTAGGCGAGAAACTTGATTTGTGTCTTTAGCACAACTTCATTGTCCATAAAGCCGACACAACAGCAGCCGATAATTGGAAGCTATCTGAATATACTTTAAGAATTTTACCAGGAGCCAATTATAACTTGGAACTGTCTGAATTTCTGGTAGTCCTAGTGCTGACTTCTCTGACCAATTTAAACATTTCTGTCATATAAGTTGGAGCAAGATTATTTAATGGTTTATAGACCATAACACAGCGCCGGTAATTAACCTTCAGGCTATCCATCACAGTCATCCATCTCAATTTTTAAAATAGAGGTTTAGTAGGAGTTTGCGAAGGAGGATCAAAAATCATCCTAGCCGATCTTTTCTGTAGTTTATATAGTCTATTTAACTGGTCTGATTCTCAGACTGTGCTACAGTAATCCAAATGGGGAATGATTAAAGCACGACAAAATTTGATACAGATAACTGTTGTAAGATACGGTTTTATACTCCTGAATTGGAGTATAGCATACTCACTACTCTATGAAATTTATTCAATATGATCTTTCCATGTTAGATTTTGATCTACCATGACACCGAGTAGTTTTTCTGGCTTTACATGCTCTACTTTTGAATCATTTACTGAAATGTTAAGTTCCTTAACAGGTAACTTTTCATATTTTTGAGAAAATGTAACTAACATTGTTTTACTTTTCTCACTATGTATGATCATCTTACACCACGCTTCTACATTAGTCATGTCTGAGCACAAGTTCTACGGTTTCTCCAGAAGTAGTGAAAGTACTATCATCGGCATACATGTAGAGTACTGACTATTTCCAGGGCAAGATCATTCATGTATATTAAAAACAGCAGTTGGCCTAGTATTGAGCCTTGTGGCACATTCGTGGTGATTGGAAGGAACTTAGATGTAGCTCTCTTAAATTTAACAGATTGTGACCTGTCTGTTAAATAGGATTTGAACCGCTGTAAGGATTGGTCGCTTACTCTATACAAAGATAATTTGTGCAATAAAAGATCATAATTGATCATGTCGAAGGCCTTGCATAAGTCAAGAAGAACCAATCTTGTCAAGTCACCCTTGTCCATATTAGTAGCCTATTGGATGTCATCTTAGCAAGGGTACTTCCTGAAACCTGATTGAGCCAAATGTAACAGGTTATAGTTAGTTAAGAAATTATACAATTGGTTGTGTACATGTTTCTCCAGTGTTTTAGAAAGTACACATAAAATGCTGATAGGTTTGTAATTAAACTTTACATTAGAGCTGCCACTCTTGAAAATAGGGCTGATTCTACCTTTTTCTCATTGGTTTGAAAATCGTTTAGTACATAATCTTGGTCACACCGTTAGCAATTGCTAATCTTGTATCTTGGAAGACAAACCGTCTGGTCCTATAGATTTTCCAGGATCTAAGTCCTGTAAAGCTTTCAGACCGAATTCATGCGTGATTTGGGGAATGGTAAAAGTATCAGAATTCGGAACTTTAGATGTAACAAAATTTGTCAATTTTTCGAAATCAGGTTGAAATGGGTTGACTTCTGTGAGATATTCAGATACAATGTTGCTAAAGTAGTTGTTGAAAAACATGGTAATCTCATTGGGATTCGTTAAGACTGCCTCCCCATCTTCAAGTTTGAGTGGAGGGGAAATAGTGGGCTTAGGTTCAAGTTCTCTAAAGTGTTTCCAAGTTTGCCTATTATTCGATTTGTTTTGATCAAATAGACTAATGTAGTATTCACGCTTTGCAGTTTTTATCATATTAACCACCTTATTGCGCCAGATCTTATAGTTTATGTGATCATGTACCTTAGTGTAATTGTCTCTGGTATGCATTGCTTTTAAAATGTCATTTGATATTCATTCTGGCTGTGTATGTTACTTCCGCTATGGAGCATAATCATCTAAAACTTCTTCAACTAAGGTGGTAAAAGTATCCAGGGCTTCATCGACTTCACTGAACATTTCCAGGATATTCCATGGCAGTTTTTCGAAATTTTCATTGAATTTCATCATATTCTGAGGATTTGTCACATACATGTGATCACGGAGTGATCCTCTAGTTTCTGTTACTCTTGTGGGATCAGTAATGAGTTGTGTTATTTGGAAACTCTCCACAATATCATTCCAACAATGGGGAACCTTGTTTTGTCTCAATAAATCAATATTCAGGTCGCCCATGATAATAATCTCCTTGTTTTCCATATAAGAATTGTCAAGTTCTCCTTCACATTTTTCACACCACACAGGAATTCTGTCATGTTCAGGTCTATAAATTGTACATAACAGGGATTTGTTGTGCATTTTTTGGGTTTGGTTTTGATCTATTTTCATATATTTTCATATATGTCCCCAGACTCTAAATCATCTCTCCGATCATAATCAAAGCGTGTGCTGAAATAATTAATTACCCCACCATGTGCGACATATGACCTATCTTTTCTCTCTGGTGGGTAATGATAGCCATCCATTTTAATAAATGCAACTGCATAGTTTTTGTTGAGCCACGTTTCCGTAATCTCTATAACATCAGGGTTTTGTTTCTCATCCTGTACAATGAGTTTCACTTGTTCAATTTTGTTGGTAAGACACTGCACATTCCAATGAGTAATCTTTAAATCCCATTATCAGGGAATAAATAC